GTGTAAATCACATCCATCATGGTGATTCGATTCAGTATCGATTTCCTGACCCAACGATTCGATTATTTTCGATACTCAAGAATACACCACGATTCGATTCGATCTGATTAATTGGTTCATTTAAAAAAATTTTTTTTTTTTACACCTTACAGGCTAGACAGTGTTTCAAATTTGAAATAAATCAATGAAAGCTGTAATATCGTTATGCATTTTTTGAGAAACAACAGCAAATAACAGAAGTAGAAAAGTTGCACTCCATCTATTCCTATTAAAACCTCATTCACTGAAAAATAAAAATAAACCCCCCCCCCCCCCCCCCCCCCCCTATAGATTCTGAAAGGCCTTGCATCAAAAAATACTGCACAAAATCAATGCAAAGAGTGCAATGCAATACCTCGGCTGTCCCCGCTAACTTGAGAGACGCTCCGCTGCTCCTCTCCCAAATTGTAGCTGACCGCAGACAGCGGTCAAGCGCCGGCTTGTTTTGTTTTTATGACCGAAATTGAGGAAAACAACTCGTGAAGTTTGACCCGCTAGAAGAGCGAGGTGCGCGAGAACGCTGGGACCCTTTTTCCACCTGGATCTCCGCTCTTTTTGGCCCTCATGTCCCTCCGTCGTCGAACTAAAACTCGCCCCCACTTCCTCTCCGCCTCGGCCGTATCTAGACCCACAGCGTGTAGCACAGACCACGCTTCAATACTGAGCATAATTCAAAAATGTCTGCATCAAGCTCACTGCAACACACTGCTGTAAGAGTATAACCAGGAAGTGAGGTAGGAGGGCAAAATAGGTTTAGCGCCACCGCAGCACGGGAGGGAGAATTACGTCCGATGGATAAAAATAGACCGGAGGAAAAAAAACATGAATCGAATCTCTTGCGGACGTATCGATGCATCGGATCGACGGCTGTAGGATCGATGCATCGATACAAAACAATTATTATTTACACCCCTACTATTGATCACTCTTTTTTATTAGAGAGCCATTAAAACTGACTCAGCTTTTCTGATACAGCACAGGATTTAATCCTACTTGAAGTATGGGGACTTTTTGTGTCAGCAGGTCCTTTACATAAAGGACCACAAAAATTACATGTGGTGAACGCCAAGGGTCCATCTTAGGGCCCCTCCTGATCAGTAGTTACATGCTCCCCAAACTCAGATTTTAATAAACAACAACTGAAGTTACTGTAACTGCAGACATCACACATCACAATGTCATCAGAGGACTAGAGATTCATTCAAGCGATGGATTAATTTGTAGATAATTCAATACAAGGATGTGCTAAACAAGGAAGATTGTTCAAATGTTAGCAGTAGCACACAGATTTATGTAATAGAGCTAGAAACGTCTAATTTCAAAACACCCAAGTTTCCTGCACGCTTTGTGGATTTGGGTCCCATTAATCAGGGGCGGATTTAGGAAATGTGGGGCCCGAGGCAAAGACAGGCAGGCAGGCAGCCCCATTCTCCAGATAGAGAAATGTTAATAGAATAGACATCCATTATCTGTTCTAGGTTGTGTCCCTCTCTTCTTGTCCCTTTTCTTCTTGTTTTCCTCTCTATGTTTTGTACTCAGCTGACTTTTCATGCTGTCTCTAAAGGAATGAAAGATTTTTTCCAAGCACTAAGCTCACTTAGCTGATTGCTCCTTCCTGTGTTTCCAAAAAGGCCAAAGTAAATAACCCAGTCCTTCTTTTCACTGTAGACAAGCCATGATCTGCTTCTCTGTTCTCCATTTTTCATTTGGATGAAATAATAGCTGCATGAATCATGACAGCAGACAAGATAGAGGAGAGCAGGAGGCGGGGTTACCAATCTACTCGCTCTGGAGAGCAGAGTTCGCTGCTTTTAGATGTTGTCTCCAAAGTCTCCAGTAGCAGAAAAAAGTCTCTAGATTTGGCGCTAGGAGCTTTTTAGAAATCAAAGTGCTAGAGGGGTCTGAAAAGTGGCTAAATATAGCGACTAAAGCGCTAAGTTGGCAACACTGCTCTTTGCATGGTTTGTTTTCAAATGGTTTGCTGCTGTCTGTTTGGACCTTTCTGAACATGTGCAGCAAATGGACTGATCCAATGTGGTGGACACTGAAGGGGGGGGCTGAGACACACTTAATATTATCAGCGTTCTGATGGCATTTTAGAGAAAGGATTTTGATCAAAAACATAATTAATGTGCTCAAATAAGGAATAGTTGTATTAACCATACATATAAACAGAGGAGTTTTATGAGGCCCCCAGGAACTTGGGGCCCTAGGGAACAGTCTAGTATTGCCTGATGGTAAATCCCCCCCATGCCATTAATTCTAGTTTATAGCTGATTGATTTTTTCCCCCCATTTTTTGCAAAAAAATCTTTTGAATTAACCTGGAAAACATTGTGACCTGTTCACTCACTGATATCATGCAGTTATTCATTGTCTCAAAATATATATCTGAAGTTGAAAGTCATCAGCATAGATATATAATGATATATATATATAAATGAAATAATCTGAATTTGTGAAACTGTTGATTTCATGTGTAAAAAAAGGTTAAATTGTAAATGACTATTGACAGAGAAGGCCCTGACTTAAAAACTGAGAGGAAAATAGAGAAAGTGGAGGATAATGCCTCATTGTATTTTCAAAGTCAGAAGCAAACTTATCTGATCTGATCCCTGTAAGTTTCTATTTGTAGTTTATTGAATTACAGTCTTTTCTCTGAGTTAGTTAAACGCGACTCACCTCGTGACCCGCAGTCTGATTGTCACTTGATCTCCACATAATCTCTATAGTCGGCAGAGATGGCAAAAGTACTCACTTTCCGTACTTGAGTAGAAGTACAGATACTTAAAAAATACTCTGGTAAAAGTGGAAGTACTGATTAAACTTCTTTACTCAAGTAAAAGTAACAAAGTACAGGCTTGTAAATTTACTTAAAGTATAAAAGTAAAAGTAGAAACCACTTTTTTCATGCCGTTGCCTACATTTTAAATTGTGTTCATTTTCAATCATCTCGTCGTCCATGCTACTATGCTAACGCCACCGCCACCAAGCTGCAATGATTTGCCGCCAATGAATACCGCCGAATCTGTCGATTCATCTTGTACTGGTGCGTCAAATGCAACGTAGATTCCCATCCAATTAGACTGAATTTGGTATTGATGACGTGAAAAATAATAACGGTAACTCCATTGAAATGATTCAAAACTAAAGTAACGAGACAATTTTTTAAAATGTAAGGAGTAGAAAGTACAGATATTTGTGTAAAAATGTAAGGAGTAGAAGTAAAAAGTCACCATAAAAATAAGTAGTAAAGTAAAGTAAAAATATCAGAAAAATCTACTTGAGTACAGTAACGAAGTACTTCCCATCTCTGATAGTCAGACAGTTTCCAGCCTTTTCTATGAGGATAAAATGCTTAAAACCTGAATCTGCTTTTTTAAAGGGTATAAAGGTGCTGATTCACTCTTTTGGTGTTATTTAGAGAAACACTGACGTTGTGTCTTCTGTTGGACAATATGCTGTCGTGCGTTAACTTTGTCACCATTATGGTAAAACATCAGAGAGAGAATCCAGATCCTGATGGGATCGATGTGAATTACATGCTGGTGAAGGGCTGTGGGAATGGAGGTGGGCAGAAATGTTTCATCAACATTTAAAGGAAAAGTCGCTCATATTCAGAATTCAAACTTCTGAAAGTTCTTTAAATGTGAAATGATTCCATCCTGTTCAATAAATGATCAGTGTTTTTAATTCAGAGTAATTTTCATGTGAATGTGCTTTACTGGAGGCATCCATGTTTGTCAAAGAACACTACTGCCACCTACTGGTTAGTGACGTCACGGTGCGGTATCGGCTGTTGATCAAGTCCCAGTGCTGTATCTGGTGTTTGTCACAACGCGCTATTATCCAAGTCATCTTGAAAACATTCTTCTTCCAAATGTTGGCTACATATTACGGGTTTTTTCTCTGGCCAGAAGTTCGATGGCAAATCCTCCCTCTTCAAGTTGGCGATCCAACGACCAACCCGTCCGTGGAGGATCAGGAATCAGAAAGGTGGAATAACTCTTTTTTTTCCACTTTTACCCGATGTATTCCATGCATCCAGCTGCCATGCACGTGGGCATTGTCAGTTTCACTATAGCTCTGGTGAATTTCAATGGTGAAGTCCTCTGGAAATCTTCAATAATTGTTGTTGATTGCAGATGTGTCTAGTAGTTCCCATTGATTTAGCTTGGAAAGCGGGGAGAATGGCGCTAGGCTTACCGCACCGTGACGTCACTGCTGGAAGATGGCAGGAGGGAGGGGCTACTATATTTGGGCAAAAATGGCCGCTCCCAGACTCAGCGATCGCCACGAAAATTATTGTTTTTATTTTCTTACTGATTAACGCTAAATTAATTAAATCACAGCGAACATATTAGTTTTAGGTATAAATAATAATCCATTGATTATTCCTTGCTGACCAGACTTTTCCTTTAAAGCCATTTATTTATTTTTATCTTATAGCATAAAGTGGTGCCAGTAGAGATCCTCCTGCATTGCAGAAAGTGAATAGAAGGTGGAAGGTTACCTCCAAATATATAAACTTCATCTGACATTAATAGCAAAATAATTAAAATCTGGAGTCATTGGGTTGCCATGCAATCATCTAATAACAACAACTTAGTTTTTTTTTTGTGGAAAGAATACAGCAAACAAATAAAAAATAAATAAATAAATAAATTCCAGAAAAAAAAAATGTTAAAGGATGTGAGGAGGGTTGATTTAAGAAAGTAGGAATTACTTCAATTTAACAACACTTTATTGATCCCAAAGGGAAATTAAAGATGGAAGTAGATGATAAACTGTGGCAAGCCTTTAAATAATTAACCAAAATACAAATGTTCAACTGAATTTTTAATTTCCTTTCATTTTTAAATTCTGTCACATCTGATCAGCGTAGTATTTCAAATTATGCATTCTTCTGCAGGGATTTCTTTGACCTTTTTCCATATTTGTTGAAGCATTTATTAAACTCACCCGTATAAAGAGCATCTTCTCGCCAACGCGATAGCGACCTTGCGAATGCCTCTCCACGCAGAATTTATTTGCACACCTGCAGGGGGGTTCATCAGCGATATGTCTCACCTGTAACACAGGTACTAAAGCATTTAAAGTGTTCTCCCCTCCTGATACCAAACAATGAACTAGACCACGTCTGAACTTACGGCATCATCCAGGAGCTTGCCCGCGCTCTTCTTAGATGAAGCCACTTTGGTGGGAGTTGGGTTGGAAGTTGGTGTTGGGGAGGGAGACGGAGACGGGGATGATGAGGGGGACGAGGGAATGGGCTGAACTGGAGATACAGGTGATGGGGGAGGTAGAGGCGCCCTTTCTTCTTGTTCAATCTCTTTCTCCAGTTTTATAAGACCTGGAGGCTCCACATTGTAACTGCAAGTAAAAAATAAAATCGGTAAAATGATTACCAAGGGCCTAAAGGTTAAAAAAAAAAAATGAAAACATGGAAAACACAAAAACAAACCGTGATGCAATCCGGCCCAACTCTAATAGACAGAGGCACACCTCTCTCGGCTGCTTATGAAGAACTACAGGAAGAGATCAAGCTCTCAGTTTTACAGTCAGATATGATAACGCATCAGAAAACAAGGCAATGAGTGAAGATGAGTGGATTGTGAAGGTGAAGAGCATAAAAATGAGCCGATGAACATTCAAACATCCCTCCACTACTAATAAGACGGAAATGGGTGTTTCTGCCTAAATGTTTTTCATGTGCAGATATGATAGACGTGACGCTTTCAACCATGCAATGCAGACGGTGGATCCGCTGTTTTATAGCAAACCTGGTTGTTGATCCTTCTGTTGCTGAATTCCATGACAGAAGGCCAGAAAGAGACAGAAACTTATCAGCTATTGCTGCTTTTGGAAATATTTCACAGTCTTTTATCACAGTTGCATGTCTTCTAGACGCTGTCTGGCCTTTAGGGATTCAATTATCTACATACTGATAAACCAAACACAAAATGTTTTAAATGACTCTGAAAAATTCTCTGCACCTTTATTGTTAGCAAACTTCAGCTTCAACACATCTTTAGAGAAACATGATTCCTTACAGTACACCGGAAAAACAATCTAGAAATAAGTAAAAATTCCTTAAATTAAGTGTATTTACCCTAAATTTGAGTAGGTAAAGTATATATTTTGCCAATAGAATTAGTATTTTACTCTTAAAATAATATAATTTAGGGATGCACGATATTGGGATTTTGGCCGATATCCGATATTTTAAAACTCATGTAGCCGATAACCGATATCGATACCGATGTTAAAGCTGGACAAAAATAAGTAGTCATTGAAAATAGCAGTTTTGTTATCCATTTCTGACACTTTGAAAAATAATATACTCAAATATATTTTCATATGCTGATATCAAATAGATTGTTAAAAACGCGGTATCGATCTATTTTACTTTCAAAATCTGGTGAAATTTCATCGTTCTGTTACAAACTCTCGTGATATTTTGCAAATTCTTGTGAGATTTTGTTAGTAAAATAGATCGATTCCGCGTCAATATATCAACATATAAAAATATGGCGACATTTGGTGAATTTTCGGGGGATTTCGTAGCATAACGATGACATATAGCAATATTTCATTAGTAAAAGAGATTGATATGGTGTTTTTAAATGGCAATATATCAGCATATGAAAATATTGGGATATTTTAATGGATCAATATTTTTTCCCTCGTCTTTAGAAATTTTTAAGTCTGTAAAAAATAAGTTTTTGAGGAAGAAGAAGAAGTAGTATTTTTTTTTTTTTAGACTTTAGAAACTCAGAAGCTGATCAAATATCGGGTTAAATATCGGTGGGGTGGCCGATGTCCGATATTCATTTTTAAGGCCGATACCGATAGGGGGCCGATTATATCGTGCATCCCTGATATAATTAGATAATATGCACTTGAAATAAGATAATGCAATTGTATTTTCTTATTTTTCATTGGCAAAATGTCTCTTTTACCTCCTCAATCCAAGAACAAATGACTTATAGATTTTGATTTTTTACACTAGAACTCTTATGTCCATTTGTTTTACTTTGTGTTTTAATTCAACGCTGCAAAAAAATGATATCTAAGTGAGTCAATTTTTCTTAAAATAAGCGCATTTTTTCTTGAATTAACCAGGTAGGTGGCGCTCTTTCCTACGGAATACGGCAATTTACATTTAAAATAAGAAATAATTCTATAATTATCTAATTTTACACTTATTTTAAGAGTAAAATTACTCATTCCATCTCATTTACCTACTCAAATTAAGGATGAATACACTTAATTTAAGAAATTTTTACTCATTTTTAGATCATTTTTGCAGTAAAATATTCTTTTAATACACTGCAAAAACAATCTAGAAATAAGTAAAAAATTCTTAAATTAAGTGTATTCATCCTTAATTTGAGTAGGTAAATGAGATGGAATGAGTAATTTTACTCTTAAAATAAGCTAAATAGATAATATGCACTTGAAATAAGACAATGCAATTGTGTTTTCTTATTTTAAGTGTAAATTGTCTTGTTCCACTGGCAAAATGTCTGTTTTATCTCCTCAATTCAAGAACAAATGCACTTATTTTAAGAAAAAATGACTTATCTAGATTTAGATTTTTTGCAGTGTACAGAGTTTCTCCCTACGTACTTAAAGAAGATTGTGAAACTCACTAGTAAAGAGTTTATTCTGCTCACTATTGATTCTGCACAATCACTTTGCTGAAGCCTCAGTCTGTAATCCTGTCCGTGCCAGAACTGGGTCCTTTGTTAGAGCGGCCGGATTGATATGAATTGAAAAGAAAAAAAACCTCCTGGTCAAACTCACCTAAACCCTCAGACTCAAAGAGACATGTTTCACCCACGCCGACTTGGCGGCACCAGGCCAGGAAGTTGGCTGTGTTGTCTCTTGCAAAGAAAGAACCGGAGGGAGCGTTCTGCCGGCATGGGATCCTCCGCTTAGGGATTGTTTTCTAAAATGACAACATGGTAAACACAAAATTACCTTTAAAACAAGTCATTTTCATGCATTTTTAGCGTTTAGTAGAGTTTTTAACTTTAACAATAACAGACGAAAATTGTAGACACCCGGTTCCTTCAATATCAGAGTGGTCTTAATTCTTCTAGGTATAGATTCAGCGAAGCATCATTGACATGAGGGCTTCACAAAGCTCCTGCTGATTAGTCAGCTGCTCTGCTATCAGATGATGCAGCATGTCATCTGGTCTAAAAGGAACTTCAAAAAAAGCTTTGTGTCCATCTTTGATGCTTCCAATGGCTGCAGAGTCCTCCCAGTATTTCTGCAGATGACAGGACTCTGACTGGTCCTGGAAGTGAGAGGTGAACAGAGGAAAAAGGAATGGAGAGAGTACCGTCCCCTGTGGTGCTCCGCTTTATTTCATACAATCAAATTCCAAAAAAGGTTAAAAAACAATCCACAAAAAAACTATTTAATTTCTTACTTTTTGAATTATATGGAGATCTGACATTAAATCGTTTTTTTTAACATGACTAAGGGGATACACGCCAAAGTTCAAAGTCTATTTTTCATACAAAACTAAATGTATAAAAGCAAATAGGACGTCTTGCACATGGGTATTGATTCTGCGTATGCTGGTCTGACACGACACCAGCATGCACTGTGCGATATTTTTAATCGCCGCACGCAGCTACAGTTCACAATGTTCGCTCTCTCTCACTGTGCGACCCGACGCTCTGATGCGATCTACACTGCAAAAAATTTAAATCTCAATAAGTCCTATTTTTCTTATAATAAGTGCATTTTTTCTTGAATTAAGGGGGTAAGTGAGAAACTTTGCCAACGGGAGAAGACAATTTACTTTTAAAATAATAAAAAATAATTATATTGTCTTATTTAAAGCGCATATTATCTAATTATCTTATTTTAAGAGTAAAAATGCTCATTCCATTGGCAAATCATTTTATTTACCTACTTAAATTAAGAGTAGACACACTTGATTTAAGACATTTTTACAAATTTTTCTATCGTTTTTGCAGTGTACCTGCTCACACTGGAAAAAAATCAAAATCTAGATAAGTAATTTTTTCTTAAAATAAGTGAATTTTTCTTGGATTGAAGAGGTAAAAGAGACATTTTGCCAATGGAACAAGATAATTTACACTTAAAACAAGAAAAAAACAATTGCATTGTCTTATTTCAAGTACAAATTATCTAATTATCTTATTTTAGGAGTAAAAATACTCAATCCATTGGCAAACTTTCTCATTAACCTACTCAAATTAAAGATAAATTCACTTAATTTAGGAAATTTTTACTTATTTTTAGATCGTTTTTCCAGTGCACACTGTACATCTAAAAACCAGGTGGGACTCAGCTCCACAATATTTGTGCGATTTAGTGCTGAAAGCCCTAAAAAGAAAAGGAGACGACGTATTTGGACAAAGACATGGCTGAGCTAACGTGGCTACTACGGTCTGACAGTTTAACAGAAAGAACTCCATTTCACTCATTGCCCCCCCGCCATGCTGCTGGGTTTTCCTCTGAGAAGAAGAAGAAGAAGAATCCTTGTTTGCCCACTGAGCAATTTGTCTACGACCACCTTACGACGGCCGACTGAATTTCAGACATGTTGGATTTTCTTCCGACCTTACGATTCCTGATGGGGGGGTGGTCGTTAGAGGCTGATCGCCCCTCGTTACCCCCTGTTCACTACACCACGCACCATCAGGAAGAAAGTCGGCCCGATCGAAAAATTCTCGCAACACTGGAAATTTGGGACGAAAAGGGCAAAAAATCGTACAAAGTACGCCCGACTTTAGAGCCCAAAAATTGTCCGGAAAAATCTCTTTCATCATTTCATCAGCGGTCTAAAACTTTCATACAACACAACGGAGCTATGATTTAAAGAAATTATTAGTCAATCTCCATGACCAAACTAAAAGTGTCCAAGTTTGGTGAATCTGTACAAACTGCCTCTTCTTTCTTCTTCTTAGCTATTAGGATCTGTATTTCCATGCATGGAACTAGAACTAGAAACGCATTTTGATAAAGTTTCTGTTCTTACTCGACTTTATTTTGCAGCTAAGCTGCTGACTGTAGCGTGAAACATTTTCATACTGGAAACTATTATAAAACAAACTTTGAAGTGATCCATTGTTTTATCTTCAATGATTTGTCTGTTTGAATCCTTCCAGGAACTGATAGATTTCTTCTTTTCCTTGAAAGTTTCTCTCTTGGCCCATAGAATATCAAAACTGCATTCAAAATATTTAAATTTAGATGACTGTAAAAAGAATAATATTTTAAATAACTTAATACCGTTTCAGGAGAATGATTGACTAAAAAAAAACATGATTTGCTTTATAAGACAGACCACATGCAAGGCTTTCATTTAAACAATATTTTTCACTAATTTATGTGCAGCTGATTTGTGCTCATTTGAGGAAGCTGAGGACCAAATATTAATGCGGATGTATTTTGTGGCCTAGGTCAGTGTAACCACTACTGTCTGCTCCATCTGTGGAAGCTCTGGTTTCATCCCAGGATCTAAGCGCCTTCTCCTTACGGATCAATATGGGAGATGACGGCTCAGAAACTCAGAGCTACTTTACCAGACCTTCCATGATTTAGGATCAAATGACATACTTATGGGTTCCAGCCCCCACGCGGTCCGTTCAGGGAGATTTATGCGCTTTGCTGTGGTTTTATGAAGGATATGTGTGTCTGTGCTTTGGGAAAGGTGCAGTGAGCTCATGCAGGAAATATGCAAGCTTTTGTGGGTATTTTTCATTTCATTCCAGGCTTCCCTTCAGAGCTTTTTTTCTAGGATCATTGGTGTTGTTGTATTTCTTTACATAGCTGTAGAAATAAAAAAGGTTTGCCAATGACATTTATAATACCAATCATAATGAAATGCACTACTTCTGTGGCGTGGTACATTATTATTGGCGCCTTTGTGTGTTTAATTGAGCATAAACTGAAAAACTGAAACATCTCAAAACAGACGAGTAAACGAGAGTTTTAACAACACATTTTGTAAGAATTATTTCACATTTTCAGGTGCATGTTGACAGACAGACAGACATTTCAATTTTGACATTTCAATAGGACAAGAGACAGGCAGGCAGACAGACAGATAGAAAGGCAGACAGACAGACAGTCAAACAGACAGGCAAACAGACAGACAGACAGACATACAGACAGGCAGGCAAACAGGCAAATTTTTGACATTTCAATAGGACATCAGACAGGCAGACAGACAGACAGACAGACATACAGACAGGCAGGCAAACAGGCAAATTTTTGACATTTCAATAGGACATCAGACAGGCAGACAGACAGACAGACAGCCTACAGTTGTTTTCCTTGTTTCATTGAAAGATATTTTTGAACCAAATCCACTCTTTTTCAATCAGTGAATCTTCCTTTTAGTCTTGTTTATCCATCACAGAGCTTTGATTTCTGTTTCTGATCATTTTCCACTTAAGATACCTGATTGTGTCCATATAGGTCCACACTGTTCCCCTTAGACTGAAATAACTCGGGTTGAAAGCCTCCTAAAACTCAAAGATGATTAATCCCACTGATAAAACTGTCCTAAGAAAGTTTTACATATTGCCATAGTGAACGAATGTTTTATTTTAATACCAATAGCACTGCTAGATCATCTATGCTACCTCAAGTCAACAATTAGTTGATGGAAACTTGGATATAATTTGCTGCTTCAAAAAGATAATGATCCCAAGAAAAGAAGAAAACAGGTGTGTCCCCCTCATATAGGAGGTGCTGATAAATATCCAGTTATAGAAAGGGCTCATTGATCCATCCATCCATCCATCCATCCATCCATTATCCATCCATCCATCCATCCATCCATTATCCATCCATCCATCCATCCATCCATCCATCCATTATCCATCCATCCATCCATCCATCCATCCATCCATTATCCATCCATCCATCCATCCATCCATCCATCCATCCATCCATCCATCCATTATCCATCCATCCATCCATCCATCCATCCATTATCCATCCATCCATCCATCCATCCATTATCCATCCATCCATCCATCCATTATCCATCCATCCATCCATCCATCCATCCATCCATTATCCATCCATCCATCCATCCATCCATCCATTATCCATCCATCCATCCATCCATCCATTATCCATCCATCCAACCATCCATCCATCCATCCATTATCCATCATCCATCCATCCATCATTAATCATTCATCATCCATCCATCCATTATCCATCCATCCATCCATCCATCCATCCATTATCCATCCATCCATCCATCCATTATCCATCCATCCATCCATCCATTATCCATCCATCCATCCATCCATCCATCCATTATCCATCCATCCATCCATCCATCCATTATCCATTAATCCATCCATCCATCCATCCATCCATCCATCCATTATCCATCCATCCATCCATCCATCCATCCATCATCCATCCATCCATCCATCCATCCATTATCCATCCATATCCATCCATCCATCATCCATCCATCCATCCATTCCATCCATCATCCATCATCCATCCATCCATCCATCCATCCATCATCATCCATCCATCATCATCCATCCATCCATCATCCTCCATCCATCATCCATCCATTATCCATCCATCCATCCATCCATCCATCATCCATCCATCCATCCATCATCCATCCATCATCCATCCATCCATCCATCCATCATCCATCATCCATCCATCCATCTATCCATCCATCCATCCATCCATCCATCCATCATCCATCCATCCATCCATCCATCACATCCATTATCCATCCATCCATCCATCCATCCATTCCATCCATCCATCCATCCATCCATCCATTATCCATCCATCCATCCATCCATCCATCCATCCATCATCCATCCATCCATCCATTATCCATCCATCCATCCATCCATCCATCCATCCATCCATCCATCCATCCATCATCCATCCATCCATCCATCCATCATC